TTGGGGATTTATTATCATTGTACTTTTATCTGATTGTTTAATTTTTATTTTGACCTAATTCACTTTATTATCTTTTTCTTAGGACATTTTTTTTTTTTTTTTTTTTTTTTTTTGAGACAGGATTTTTCTGTGCAGCTTTGGTGCCTGTCCTGGAGCTCGCTCTGTAGCCCAGGCTGGTCTCGAACTCACAGAGATCCACCTGTCTCTGCCTCCTGAGTGCTGGGATTAAAGGTGTGCACCACCACCGCCAGGCTCTTAGGATAATTTTTAAAGCAATTTTGGTGGTATTGTTGTATACCTGTTTCAGTACATTTTATTTAAGAGGAATAATTTTTCCATTTTCTTTGGATTCGTGTCTTGTATCTATTTATTACTGCCCTTGCTTTTGCTTTCTAACTATTACGTAATCTTGTTTTATTTCTTCCAAGTCTTTCTTCTCTTTCTCCTTCCTGTTTTTCCAGGGACTTGCCACTTAAAGGTGCAGCTTCTTTAACCGGATATGGCACACTGGGAGAAATCAGGCTACCCACTGCCCCAATACACATACCCTAGCCTGTCTTTTGGTCCCTGCTGTGACTGGTTAGAACACCGGGGGCTGGGAGTGAGAACAGAGGAAGTAAGCCCAGCCCATTCATCCCATAAGTGTGAGGTAAATTTAAGCACTTACCTAATGTCTACCTCTGCGTAATAAGGCATTTGGTGTGGGACTTCCTGCCACCCCACTAAGGACCTCCAAGTGTCAGAAACTGCCTGTGTCTGAAGGATGCAAAGGATTGCCCTTTCTAGTCACTCCACCCCGACCCAATGCTGTACCTGGCAGCTATCTTTTCTAATGGAACTCCTCTTTGGACATGAAGGCCTGTGTTCCCCATTCAGGGTCCATCTCCTAATAAAGCTGTGTAGAAGGGTGTTCTCACAAAGCACTTTCCCACGAACCCAGAGTTCTCTTTTGCATTGTGAATCAAACCCAAGGATTCATGGCTGCTAGGGAAGCAAGCAGTCCCCTACTGAGCACACATCAGCTCTCCCATCTGTCTTAGTAGAAGTTTGGAAAACAATATTTAAAGCTTCCATTGAGGAGGCTTTATTTTTAATTGTCATTATTCATTTTTTATTCCAATCACTGTAATAAAACACGGCCTGTGTATTGGAGCTTTTTAAATTTTCTGCCATTTTGTTTTGACCTAGTATGTGATAAATGATTGTTATCTTTTACAAATACTGATAAATAGATCTTCTAAAGGTTTTTTAAAGCATGTATATTTTTAATATAATTCAATCTTATGAATTATTTCTTCTAATATTTCTTCTCTTTATATCTAAACATGTTTTTAAACTTTGACAGATGGATTAAGAGCCCCTACTATAAAACGTTTCTACTTAACTTTTATAATAAATAAGAAGCTGAATGTAACCTTAGGATCAAAGGCAAGTTTTCTAGTGTAATTGTTTCATTGCTAATCATTAGCTGTATATGCAAGGGATATGTAGCCTGAAGAAAAAAATCCTTGCAAATCTTATAATTTTGTTAATACTATTTAGTAATAAAGGCTTAATTACATTTTTGCAAAAGAAAGAAAAAGTATCCCTGAAGTGAACAACCATCCAGAAACTGGGCACTTCACTGGGCTACTTTTCTAACAGGACAGAATCAGTAAAGTCTGAAGAACAGAATTTTTAATCAGCTGTACGCCCCCAGTGGGATACTGAAATTTTAGTGGCTTGAAACAGAAAGTGATGTCTATTCAGCCTTCATTCAAAGTTGGGATGCAGCACCAAGAACAAAGCTTCTTGTAAAGTGTGGATCCCCAGCAGGCTTACCAGAATCAGCAGGGATAATGGAGGGTTGTGATGGGCATGGTGGAGGTATGTGGGGGATCTCTGCCATTCACTTTCACTTTGAACCTACTATGATCTAAAAACAAGAAAGAAAAGGACCAAGATGAGGAAGACATAATATGTATAAGGAGCATGAAAGGAGAGGAAATTGACTGTGGGCTTGAATTTTCCAGGTCACTTTTCAGATGGTGGCCAACTCTTCCTGACAGTAGAAAGACTCTTACCACAGTCCTATTTCTTGCAACAGACACTGTTTCCTAAACATACACAGCTCTCACATGGTAGGGATTTTTAACTGAGATTGTATGCACTAAAATATCATGCTTTTTTCTCTTGGTTTTTTGAGGCAGGATTTTTCTGTGTAACTGTCCTGGCAGCCTGGAACTCACTTTGTAGACCAGGTTGGCTTTGAACTCACTGCAATCCACCTGCCTCTGCATCCCAAGTGCTGGGATTAAAGGCATGTGCTGCTGCTGCAACCACCATGCAGCCACACTTTCAGTTTTAAACATTTAATTTCCTTAGTTTGTTGGAGACAGGGTTTTAGTCTGTAGCTAAAGCTGGCCTTGAACTCATGACAATTTCTCAATCTCTAGAGAGCTGGGATTACAGGTTTGAGCCCCTTGTCCAGCAGAGGTTGAGGTGGGGGGCTCCACAATCTTTCCACAATCCTGTAAAATCTGGCTTATGGGAACCCTTAATCCTAGACCATGTTAATTTAGAAATAGCTTCATCATAGCAAGATCCATCCCTCTCTTCCTGTCCCTGCTTTTCCCAGTTTGGTAGGAAAGAAGCCTCCTCCATTTACTATCAAGAAATAGTGTGTGTGTGTGTGTGTGTGTGTGTGTGTGTGTGTGTGTGTGTGTGCGTGTGGTGGGGCATTAAATATAAAACCATTGTATAAATTATCAGAGAAAATGTGTTAAAAGGGAAGTTGGACATTCTCAGGTCTCTTCACTTTTACATAGTGAGCAACATTTTTTTTTTTGCCTTAAGGCTATGGATTTAATGACCAAGATAAGAGATCCAGCTTAATTAATTGACATATCATTGCTCAGAAGGAAACTGGAACTGGTCACTCATTTCCTGGGTAGAGGGGTCAAGTCGGAGTTATTCTACATGGCTTTGTTATAGCTGGGAATTGTCATAGAGAGCAGATTGGTGTAGAGCTTGTAGTGGTCTCCTTGCCTCAGCCTTCTGAGTGTACCGTCATGCCCAGCTATGACAATCACTCTTGAAAGTGAGTATAGGAAGCTATGAGAGGTGAGCATCAACGGGATCCATGTTCATCTACCCAAACAAGAGGATTCCTTAGGCAATCCAGCTTTTTCTCATCCCACTGCCAAGCCTTGCCTCTGGTGATCCTGGAACCTTAAACCAACCCTCCCTTTCTGCCTTAATCAGTTTTACCATGCACCTACCATCTATTCAGATAGTCACTAATTTGCTTCCAAACTAACTCATGTTTCAAAAATTAAACAAGCAAATTTTAAATTAAAAGCTATCTCTTGTGGAACATAGGAAAGCAAAGCGATCTCATTGACCATAAAATGCTCATCTTAAATAACTACAGTTTAGTCAAATGTAACTCAACTGAAGAAATTACAAATTTGAAATTAGATATAAACAATAATAATAATACACCTAGTACATACATAAAAATAGATATCTCAAATGTTTTTCATTGTAAAGGAAGAAATGTTTATAAGAGATTTCTAATAAAATGTCATTATTTTTAAAGCTGCTAACTTGAAGACCAAGATAAACAATCAAAATAATTTAAGAGGTCATTGTTCAATAGACTTTTGGCTCAAAAGAAGTCAAAGAGACTTTACATCCTGTGTGGGTATACATGTGTGCATGTGCACAGCTGTGTTTGCCTCTGTGTATTGCATACAGTTTGTGTGTATGTGTGTGCGCACACACAAATGTGTATTATGCACATCCTATGCACAAGTGTGCTTACATGTGTATGAATATGTAGAGGTCAGAGATTACCATCAAGTTCATTTCTCTGTTGCTGTCCACCGTATTTGTTGAGATAGGATTTCTCGCAGAACCTGAAGTTCACTGTTTCTGCTATACTGAATGGATGGTCTAAGCCACTGTGAACCATGCCTCTCTCTGCCCTCTTCCAAGTGCAGGGATTACAGACACATTCCGCCATGCCCGGATTTTACATGGGTGCTGGCGATCTGAACTCTGGTCTTCATTCAGGCTCAGCAAGCACTTTACCAACTATCTCCCCCGTTCCTCACACCCTTTTTTCTTTTGCACATACCGACTCACTTGGCAACATCCAAAGGACATGATGGATGATGACTCTCAGACACCAACTGCTACCATTTGACATAGGAAGGTACTAATGAAGTATCTGTTTCATGTTTTCCTGTGTTCAAAAGTCAGGTATCTTCATGGTACCTTCCATAACATAAAGCAGATCTAAGACAGGAAAATGCTTTAGCTATCTGTGGATAGGTTAGTGGATAGATGAGTTTGATAGACTTTCCTTTAGGTCCTTTTGGGGGTATCATCTCTGATGCAAAGTGAAATGGTACCATTTCCAATGCACCCATTAGATGGAGACACTGTGTTTTCATGGGCCTTGTTTCCATTTCATGAATATTCTCTTCTATGAATCTCACATAACTCCAGAAGGTAGGTCCCAGGGTTGCCTCTACCATATACTCCTAAGTAAATTGGATTGCCCAAAACCATGTTCTACATGCAGATTACTGCATCTCTAGCCCTGTGAGTTAACTGCTCCCCTCAGAAAAATCACACATCCAACCTATACTTACTCCTGAGCCCCTCCAAAGGCCTCTGTAAATATGGTGTGCTGACTAATCTTATGTCAACTTGGCACAAGCCAGAGTCCTCCAAAAGGAGAGAACTTCAATTGAGAAAATGCCTCCATAAGACTGTAGGGCATTTTCTTAATTAGTGGTTGATGGGGAAGAGCCCAACCCATGGTGGGTGGTGCCATTCCTGTTTTAGTGGTTCTGGGTTCTATAAGAAAGCAGGCTGAACAAGCCACGGGGAGCAAGCCAGTAAGCGACACTCCTCCATGACCTCTGCTTCAGCTCCTACCTCTGGGTCCCTGCCCTGTTTGAGTTCCCATCCTGACTTCCTTCAATGATGAATGGTGATATGGAAGTGTAAGCCAAATCAACCCTTCCTTTCCCTCCCCCCCACCCCCCGACCCCCGCCTCTGCAACTTGCCTTTTGATCATGGTGTTTCATTACAGCAATAGAAACCCTAACTAAGTCACATGGTTTGTCGACACAGAAACTCTTTCTGAGTCTTACCTCCTCAGTATATCAATTCTGGGTGGAAGGGGTGCTAGTGAGAACAATGGAAAGCAGAGAAGAGCTTTAATCAGCAGATAAATGCTGTCTATCAGAAGTGTGTTTTCTTTCTTTCAGCACTGGGTTGGTTATTGTAAGAACAGGTTGATAAGAAGCAAGGGTACACCAAGGTTTCATCTCATCTTTATGCTCCTATATTGTCCTTCCATTTCCCACTGCAAGGCCTTCATCAAAATCCAAGCAGGTGCTTACAAAAATACCCTTGGATTATCAGAACCATGAGCCAAAATAGAGCTCTTCCCTTTATAAATTATACAGTGTCAAGTATTCTGTTAAAGCAACAGAAAATTTCCCTGGACCAAAGAAGAGATAAAGTAAAGCTACCACCTATCCCCCAGTGCCTAGTTGCAAGACTCTAGGAACGGCTGTTTCTGAGCATCTCTGCTCTCAAAAGTTCAACCCTAAGTCCTAAGAGAACTGGGAAGCTCATCCACAAACTGTATTCATCAAATTGATTTATGACCCCATAAAAAAAGCTACTTGATTTACTTCACTCACCATCTTCCAATCCAGGCTGAGCAGACAATTTCAGCATGGCTCCTACAGGGAGGGAGTGTGCTGGCTATATGGATTAGGGTATATTGTTGCAGTGCTTGCTCTGGAGATTAGCAAATTCATAATCTGAAATTAAACATCCATCCAATGACCACTCTTATAAGATTAATCAAATGCACACTTTCATATGTAAAGATGAAGCCCTACACTATGGAAATCTATCAAAATAAGATCTACCAATAGGCAGCTAACACTGACAAGGTGAACCAATGCTCAAGATGATTGAGAGATGTGCAAGTGATGGCCATTACCATTATTTCTTAGACAATCCATATTCTAAAATTGGGAGGATACAACTTCTATACCACATTTGCCATATTTACATATTATTTATAACTAGTGTTCTTTGCAAAAATATAAGATACAAAGTGACAATGGTAGTCACAAAATCTTTTACAAATTGGAAAAGAAAAACAGGTAATTCATGGCAAACTCAATGTTTTCAGTCATGAGTAAGAAAGACTGAATCATCTTGCTACCATTTAACAACTCCCAAATTGAACACAATATATTAAATAATCAGCCTTAAATGACATTGGTACTGACCAAGTCTTGTTCATGTTAGGTTGGTACTCTAATTCAGCTACAATGCCGGCCTCACAGTTTTGGGTCAGTAAAAACAGCCCATACGATATAACCCAAAGCCATGCCTTATGACAAACACTGCTCTGGAACTGGTCTTATTTCATGTCTATGGAAAGGACACAGCAAAGCACCTCACTGCATCTTTTAACTGGTGTTCAATGAACTCACTGACTGCTCTATTTTCATTGAAGCTTCGTTCTTAGGTTCTGAGTCTTAACAGTGTTCCATTTCTCTTTCTCCTTTGGTCCTTAGGAGTCTCAGGGTATTTGTTTTTCATGTTAATATTTCCAGTAGAATTATACATTCCCATCTCTTCTTCCCTTGCCTTTTATTCTTTCATCTGTATTTGATGTTCTGTTGAAAGCAGAAATTGCTGAAAGTGAAAAGCAGAACAAGAGAAAGAATAGTAGTTGAAACTGGAGACAGCCAGGAAGAATGTTACTATCACATGAGTCTGAAAATAAAAGTATAAGGAAAAGTCATGGTACTACATATGCTGGGTCCAGAGAGAGTAGCTATATGAAGAAGGCAGTCTGATATTCAGGACCATCTTTATTTATTTAAATTAGACATTAAACTCCTCTGTGTTCCAGAAAGTATCTTAAGGAGTTTGCCTGTCATATCTCTTTTTATTAGTTAATTGTTGCAGTGCTGAGAATTTAACTGAGGTCTTCCACATCTAAGGCAAGAGCTTGACCACGGAGCTTTACCCCAGCCTTCATGTAACATCTCATTGACCTTCACCTGCACTGGAAGTGACATCATTCCTCTGTGGTACAGATGAGGGAATACAAGCCTTTGAGAACTCAGATGTTTTCTAATACCTAAGGCCCAACTGACCTAGAATTTCAACAGGTATTCATCTGGTCTTCTGATGTATCTGAATCTAAATGATGGAAAGCATGGTGCTATGATGAGATCATTACAAAACAGAGAAAGAGAAGAGGGAAGGAGGGAGGGAGATGAAAAGAGAGGAAGGAAGAGGGAGTGTGGGAGGAGGAAGGGAGAAGCAGAGAGAGAGTCAGAGAGAGCAAAGACAAAGAGAGGAAGGGAGGAAGGGAGGGACAAAGGAGACAGGGAGGATATGAACAATGAAATGTACACCACTAGTTGTCAACTAGAGTATAAAGAACGAAGCATAAGAGATGCACTCACAAGCACCCATTGAGGTTGCCTCAGACATGTTGAATGGCCAGAGATGAGCCAGTTCCACTCAGCCTTCCTATCTAACACAGACACATTCATATGGATGTATTACAAGCACAGTTGTCATCGTGATGAAAGAGCAGGCCATTAGAACAATGAGGAAAGAACTATACCACACTCAATATCTGATTGAAAAGAAAAACTGTGGCTTTAGTTATTGAAATGCAAGACCAACTCCTCAGCAATTTCCAGGCCCAGTCTCCCAATATTTGGGAGATGGTTTCCAGGACTAAGAGAAATCAGTCCCTATCTGATACTTTCTACCAACACTGAACTGACTTGTGAACTTTATTCCAAATTATTAGAAACTATCATTAAATAGTTCTTTCTCACATTTTTTTTCTTTCTTTTATCTCTCTCCTTTCTCAGAATTATTCACCTATGCTGAAATCCTAAAAAGAATCATAAAGGTTAAGACTTCAATTACCTTTCAAAAAACCAAAAGTAACTTAAATCTGAATCTAAAATGTTTTGTATGTTTCAGCTGATGGTAGTTTTGGGAGACTGTAAATATATGTCCATTTCAGCTCATGGTTTTAGAGGGATTGCAGCTGATCATGAAAGAGAAGAGAAAACAGCAGAAGTCTCTTTCCATGGTTGGACAGTATACAGCTGTGGCTTCTTATCATGGTGTAGGCCAGGAGCAGAGAGCACATGCCCAGTCTGTATAGCCTTCAAAGACCCTTCTCTAATGACTCACTTCTCAGTCTGGCCCAACTTCTTAAGGTTTTACAACCTCCCCAGACAGCACTAGCAGAATTGAGACAGGACTAGACATGGAGAAAGGGCCTCGCAGGATAAAGGATTCTACCATCCAAAGAAACACACAATATGAACCAAAAAATGAGGCAGAATCACTGAAGGAATTTAAGTGGCAAATAGATCTGACAACTTCACGTTGGCCTAATAAGTGCACAAAGAATCCAATACCTTTCTCTGCTGTGTCTTATCCAATTTTCTTCTTTAGCAATTTCACAAAATGATGGATGAGTTCTAATTATAAAAATCAAAGTTTCACTGTTAGAGAATGTTCCCACAATTAGAAAAGACTAATAATTAACAATTGTGATCTCCCCTGCTGTTAGCATTTCTGCATACTTCTAGTTTTATATTTTATTAGTTAAATAAGTTTCACTATCAGGGCTCATCTTCCTGTTGTCAGCTGCCTCTATAAAGATTCTACCTTGCAAAACATGTTTCAATTCATAATTTATATGTAAAGCCTTGACTTCATAGTGTCTAATGTTTTTAAATAAATTTTCACTAGAATAAGGGATGAGTTACAACATAAAATATTTAAAAATATTATTCTGATCAGTGTTCTTCATTTGTAACTAATCAACATTCTCCTCATACAATTGGCTTGATCATGAGAATTCTTTTTAATATTAAAGTAGAGGCTTATTTAATTGTTCATTATGAATATCTAGATGTTTTAGTAGCCTCTGCTGAAAAGTCATATACTCTCTATTTAAGTACAGTGGCACGTTGGTCAAAAATCAATAGACTCCTGGATCATGAACTTTAATGGAGGTCAGGGGGTCATCAAAAGATATAAAAGAATAGGTTGGGTAGGTCTGTAATATAGATAGAATAAGGGAAGGGCAGAGGGAAGGATAGAAAGTGAGAGATGGCACTAGAGAATAAAAAAGAGTGACATGACAAAGTCACAGAAAACACAAAATAAAGTGTGTGTGTGTGTGTGTGTGTGTGTGTGTGTGTGTGTGTGTTTATTTTGGAATTCCCAGGTGTAACACTGATGAGTATGTCTGTCTTTACATGTATACTACAAGCAGGGTGTGGTGTCATAGTCTAGTAATTCCAGCGTTATGGCATTTGATAGAGAAGGGTCATAACGTCATGGGTTATTGTAAATCTTCAAATCAGGTAATGTTGCTAAAATTCCTTCCCTGTGGGGAAACACAATGATGCCTGTTCCACTGCTTAAAAGTTCAACAACACATAGAGACACAATTTCACCAAAGTTCATTCCAGTGAGTGAACTTAACCAATGAGCTTATTAGGCTTCCTTACAGAGCATAGGTGAAAGGCTATCGACAGTAGTGTGGGTATACTTAAAGCAGGGTGATGAATCTCCCATGGCTATACAGATGGAACACCTCTGCCCTCCTTCCCCACATATATACTCTGTCCCTCCCTGAGCCCATGTGGAATTAGGATAAAATTTCATACAACTAACTGGCTGGAAGGAGAGGATGGATACATCTCGGCTGAGGGTCCAATGACCCTCCCATCTTTTCTTCTATGAAGGAAAGTCAACAGTCAATTATGATGATATTTTGCAAACAGACACAGCTGAGCTGATAATAATGGTGGTGATTTGGCTTGGAGAATAGTCCCATACAACAGGTAGTATCAGACTTATCTATTGTATTAATTAATGTTGGCTTATTGTTTTAATGTTGGTCCATTACAGATGCAAGCTTCCTGGATTTATATAGCGATTTCATTGAACCTGTAGGTCAATTTTCAGAGGAGTGTCACCTTATTCCCTTTATATCTTCTCACCTATGAGCATAGCATATGTTTCCATTCACTTATCTTCCAATCCATGAACAAAGTTCATATGTCCATTCACATATATAGTCTTTAATTACTCTTTTCAATGTCTTGTGTGTTTTGTACAGGTTTTATGCATACTTTATTAAATCTATTCAGAAGTGTTTTGTATTTTCTATGATTTGGTGTTATGCCCTTTTTATTTACCAGTCTCCTCCCCGGTACTCAAAGGAATTCTGGGAAGGTTAAGGGATAATATACCAACTCTCCCTGATAATGTCATGGTATATATTATGAGGGTACATTGCAGGTGGGTTCTGTCTTACCTTTCCATTAAGTCCATGTTCTAACTCTGATTTTCACCACTACATCCTGGTTCTTTTTTAATCATCCTGATCATGTTCTTTTTGTTCTTTGTACACTGCTCTTGCATTCTTTCTATCCTTTCTTTGGACCATAATCTGCGTTCTCTTGGGTTTCTTATGAAACTGAAAATACATGTATAAATTCCAAATTTTCATTTTCTACAGTATTTTTAGGTTCCCAGTTACAGACCTAAGGCAAAGAGCCTACCTACTTTAAATTACAACATTAATGTGCTAAACATGTTCCAAAAGCTCTTATCTTGCAAATAAACGAAGTTTAGAAGAATTTTTCACAGAACAAACTGGAACAAACAGACTTCAAAGGATTTAGTGAACAATTGGCTCCTGAGATACTCAAAGAGTTACTATACATCCCTAAATTAGAATTTAGAGTACAGACTTTATTAATTTCAGTGTACAGTTCACATTGCATTTTAAATGATTTCAAAGAATAGTTTAGGAAGTGGTTTCTCATACTGAGGGTAGATTTCAAGAAAGCAAAGCTATGTCTTTCAAATAAAAACTGCACTTCTCTCCATATGACTCAGAAAACCTGGAGCATAGATATTTGTTATCATTATTCAAAGGACATGGCTTTAATTTTACTAGTTTACTCTAATATATATATATGACTAGCATTTTTATCTGAACTAAAAGGATGTATCTAAAAGAAGCATTCCTAGCCATGAGGCAAAAAACAAACAAAAATTGTTACACCTTCTGTTTTTTCTTCCTAAAACCTTGAATTTTTATCAAATTATTACTGTGTTAAAATAATTTCATATGCCGGGCGGTGGTGGCGCACGCCTTTAATCCCAGCACTTGGGAGGCAGAGCCAGGCGGATCTCTGTGAGTTCAAGGCCAGCCTGGGCTACCAAGTG